TATATATATATATATATATATATATATATATATATTTTTTTTTTTTTTTGAACACAGAAAATGTAGTTATGAAAATATAATTATGAAAAATATTGGAAATAAACGTAAAAGCATCGAAAGTACTCTATATATTCAGAGAATATTATATATATAGCATTATTTTATTATTGTCTTATCCTCCCTATAGCTGCATGTTAATATTCTTATAATTATATTTAACTCGAGATTGAAGCGACATATGCATCGAGCATAATCAAATAATCGATCGTAATTGAGGCAAAACTACGCTCACAGCTCGCACGCGCGTTATATTCCACGTATATACGTGATTTACTCAAGTTCTTTACCAGTTTCCATGATTACATTTTACGTGGCTGACATCAGAAGAGAACTTTCTCTTATGCATATTTATAAAGTGCGGTAGTTACGCGCTTATTCCTCCTTGGTATCATACAATATCGTATGACGACTCGCAGTTACAAAGATACGTAGTTGCCGTAGTTATGCAAGAATGACCCACATAGGATACACTTCGAGAAAAATAAAGATGAAAATTTGATACATAATTTAAAAAGTACAGATAGCACTGAGATTCTTCGCAATCGTTCAAGAAGTCAGACGTGATCAACTTTTTCCTCTTTATGTATGTTTTTATTGACCGTGGAGCAAGTCCATTGGCCATTTTCCTCTTTATTCATTGACAAGCTTAAATCTTAAAAAAAAATGTTAAAATAAATATAACTGGTAAAAGATAGCGCAACTAACAGAAAATAAAAACTGTATTTTAGTTTATTTAGGCGTCTATAAATCTTGAATCCTTTTTGTTTTATATAGAAAGACGTATAGACTACCCATTAGTAACAAAAACTCAAATATCATAATTTTGTGGATTTGATTATTCTTGTATAATTTTGACCACTTGTCACTCTCAAGGACGCGGTGTTTTTTTTTGTCGGGATGAGAGGAAAAGAAGAGGAAGGAAATAGAAGAGACAAGATGTAGCTGAAAAATATTTTATTCCGTATTTTCTGAAATAAGAGATTCAATTAATTATAAAGTGACGTCACGAAGTAAGCCCTCGTTGATATCTTACTTCGGCATTAATTTAAACGTTGCTACATCTAAGTAGGAAGTACGATCTTTTTTTTTCTTTTTCTCTTTTCCTCTTTTTCTTTTGCAAGAAGGTATAAGTACAAATACACAGGTGTATATAAATAGGTACATTTATACGCAATGCGATATGTTCGCGTGGTAAATTACAGATGGCTGAATATTCCGATAATATAAACAAGAAAGAATTTACGCCGCGAGGACTCGTACACGCGAATCCGTCGTCCAAATTGTCATACAAAATTAATCTGCAATGATATAGGAAATCATCGTGCACGCGTGATATAGAAGATTGTACGAATATTAGACAAAGAAAAAACACGAAATTAGTTCCGATTCTGCTCTATTGCGATTATTATAATCATTGATACTTGTATAACAATTTCTAATTATTATCTAAGAAAGAAAAAAACATTAGTGAGATCTACACGGCTTTAGAGAATTATACGTTATACCATTGCGTTATCACGTAATCATTATGTTATCACGTAATCAGATAGTTATGTTATTATCGATACTTTATCGCGTCACATTACTTCCATCTGTATTTACCACTTTATGACAGAGAAATTAAGCTAATAAATTAAATAAACCGTAACAATCAGAACCGCGACTCGAACGCGGTTATATCGCAGAATAACACAGAAGTCAAATCGAAGAGATTTACAATTGTCATTTTACGAATTGTCATTTTAAGTCACCTGCACATCCAGCATACAGAGATCTTTAGAAACTGAAGCGATTCGCTATGACTAAAATAAGTAAAATTGTACTATAAGATACCTTATGCACGCATATCGCGTTGTGTAAACTAATGGAATAATAATATAAAATTTCATCTGTATCATCATTAGATTTTTACATCCGTAACAAGATCAATTATCAACCTGTGATATTGCTTGAACCTATTTCTTAAATGTTCTTTAAATATTAAAAATATTATACGCGTAACTGTCTGTGTTATTCTAAGATAATCAAGACGCACGTAAGGGAAACCGTAAAAATCCCTTCGAGTATCACATCATATTGTGCATTGCTTATATTCATGCATTGATTAAGGCCCATAATCTCAAAAGTCTTTTCAGTCTCTCGTTGTATTTCTAGCTAAAAGATATCTAACGCGCAACTCTCAGAGTTGATGTAGAGCTACGCACGTACGGATACGTGCAAATAAAGTGACATGGCATAAGAAGGTTCGTTCGACCAACGCGTAATAATAATAGCGTTCGATATTGATCAATCAAGAGTGTGAAAAACATATAAAGGAAATAAAAACATAAAACAAAAAGAAAAAAAATAATTTCGCGCGCGAACTTGGTGTTTTTTAATTAAAATATAGATTAAAGGTACGCACACCTTGATAATATCACTTTGGCTACATATATACATACGTGTATATACATATATAATATATTGAACATTTAATGCTAAATAATCGACTATCTCGATACTCGTAATATAAACTTCCATGGAAGAAAATTTTTATAAATGTAATATTAGTATTTTTATTGATGTAAAAGCAGCGTTTACACCTTCATAGATACTATGAGGTATTCGGCTTGTGTGATGATGTATCAACATTATCTTCGAGAAATAAAACGAAATTTATGTACAAGTAATAGCTGCTAATAAAACAGCCCGAAAAGTTTCCACGCATATCGACAATACATACGTTCTAATTATTATGCATGCTATATGCTAAATCTATCGAGAAAGATATAGGGAAATATATAATTAAAAGTAATGACACGCGCGTCGTACACCGGGATTAGTTAAATACGTTCTTGTAAAATAGATTAAATAGAATACAACCACCCTCGCGGAAGGTGCACAATAAAAATATATGTATGTGTATATATATATATATATATATATATATATATATATATATATATAATATAAAATCGTACAATAGAGAATTCGCAGAGAATCTGTCGTCGAACATATAAAATAAGCACATACACACGCACACATATATGTGTTTCGTACAATTTTGACAAATAACACATTTTTTTTTTCTAAATTGTTGTAAATGCAGTACACTTCAACATAAAAGATCCAGAAAATTCTACCGTTAATTGTTCGATGCATTATTGCAATTAATTTTCTCTCCCTTTCTGTCCTCCTTCCTCTCAACTAGCCGTACAGACCGACATAGATACGTACATACAATATATATATTATCCACTTATAAAACATCACGACCAGGTTTTAGAAATTTCGTTTCTCACCTCTTTCAAAGTACATTTCACGTAGCAAATAAATGTTAATAAAGTTGTATCTGCTGCTGCTACATGTGATACTTTGTACAAGTTATTTGGTGCCACAATATCGTTAATTGGATTTACAATATATACTACAGTTGTTTTCGATTTGTTGATCGATATTTAAGCGTCATATGTACAATTAAGGTACGTCTAGACTTGTGACTACCTCCATATAAAATATGCTTATGGTTTTGCAAAAGGTAGTTTTGGGATTATCAATTATTCCTGTTTATTTATGTGAGCGATCAAAGTAAATTATGTACACATCCTCTTCAACACATGATTTAATATAATCACACGTAACCAACTACCTAAGCAATGCTTAACAATAAATAACTAGGTACACTTAGATCGTAAAGTATCGAAAATTTTGGATATTGTCCTCTAATGCATTATTAGTATTATTATTATATTGTATAATTGAAACGAAAAGAGCCACCGCTCCATGTACGTCTTACAAATGACATAATATAAGCCTTTCAAAGAACTCATCTTCCTACGTCGACAACCTAATGAGGTAAGATGAACCGCTACTTTCTTTCTCTCTCTCTTTCTCTCTTTCTTTTTCACTTTCTCTCTTTCTTCATACAAATATTTCGATCGGATGAACGCGGATTTATCTTATCCCTAAACAAAAAAGAACGAATCACTTTTATTTTTTACTGAACCGTTCAGTATTCAAATTATATGATGCTAAACAATCTATGGAAGAAATTCTACGTATTTTCTTTTATAACGTTTATGTCCTTTTTTTCGGTATTTGGTATTGTTATCGGATTCTGCGTCTACCTTACACGGAAACATGCTCTAACATTTCTTGGATGAAATTTAATGTGCAAGTTGTCGAATTTGCGTTATCTCCTGACTATTGTTGAAAGGCACATACTCCGTTTCATATCGTTTATAGATAATTCCGAATGATATATAAATTGTTATTCCTTTTCGTGTTGTAATATCTTTGCCGCTAATGAAATTGCTCGTCACGACAAGAAAAACTGATGTCTAATTGAGAGACGCTCTACCGTTAACGAACGCGTTGAGGAAAATGGTTATTTGTGAAGCCAGTGTGATTACAGCAGTCTATTATCGTTCGCATAACGTCGTGCTAATTCGTAACGTTACGGTGAAATATCGCGTAATGACTCGTTATATGCTACTTAGAGAATTTTCCGCGACTCAGTGTTATAAAGGTATCAATGAAATTTGGTGGACGAAGGTTTATCACACACTACTTACGGGTAAAGTTAGAGTGACACCTATGAAGGTATGATATACACTACAAAATATGCTCAGGATCTTTTAGAGACAAGTGATTTTTATGTTTTACCTTACGACCTTGTCTTTTGGATGCTTTTCGAGTAACCTTGGATTCCCTGGGTTCTTGTTTGTTGAGACCGAGCCGGAAACGCACCGGTACCTTTGAATCAAGAGTACTTTCATCTGTAAAACAAAAAGAAGAATGTATTAATGCATTGTGAAGTAAAGCACGTAATTTTTTCGTGTTACCATCTTTCTGCGTTCATTTAGTACAAATTACTTTCTTCATACACATATACAAAACATACACATATACAAAATGAGGATATGGAACAAAATAATATTATTATTAATAATTAATATACGCGCATAAAAGTGATAACAAATTCTCTAAGAAGGAAACAAGATGTTTCAAATCGTTAACATTATTTCAAAACTCAGAATACGTCAGCGCGATATATTCGAGGAAAATATAAATTACCTTCAGAATCATGTAACTCAGTTACAGATCGATGTAGAACTGTAACTCGTCTAACTTCCTTTTGATTGACTGTACAGAAAGACATATCGATCGTTAGGAACAATTTGCGCACAATCAGAAAGAGAGAAGCTAATACAGTCAAACATAAAATTATTTCTTCATTGATCTACTCTCTATTACTTACTTTTTTCATCGGTATTAATAACGTGCCTCTGATTGGCCTTAGCATTATTCTTCACAACCCTGTGGACAAACACAAAGAGCGATTTAAGCAACACTAACGCGAGAAGACGATGAATATGCTACGCAATACTTCGTTCATACTCACTCGTTGACGACGCCTTTAAAGGCTGACTGCACTAATCTGGCAGACTGAATGGGAACTGCTCTATTCAATCTCTCCGCACGCCTTCTGCTGAGTTCCGCCCGCAAGTCTCCCTCCTCGTCTATCGCCAAGTCCTCAAATATAGCGTCCACGTCCTCGCTTGGTCCGTCGGAGACGATGTCCTTGCGTTTCTTACACTTTTTGTCCTTCCCGATGCGCTCGGAAAGCGGCAGTTCGTTCTTCAGCTTTCCCACTTGATATAACTCCTTGTCACGCTTCTTTCTCTTTTTCGAGGGCTTTTCCTTCTCTACTTTCTGCGGTTCCACATCTATACACGTACTTATCGAACTCGTAATAGCGCTCGGAGACTCATCATCCGCACCTTCGAGCTCCTCGAACTCGTAACTGGTTTCCAGGCACAGGTCCACATCTTGCATATCGTATTCATCCGACGATTTGTTGATCTTTCTTATTCCGCCTAACTGAACCTCTATTGTTTCCGGAGCTTCCACTTTGGTACTCACAGTGTATTTCTTGCATAATTTAATTTTCTTGTTGGCATTCACCGGATCGATAGGCCGCGTGGATTCGAATTTCTTTCTTCTAGCCTCGAGCACAGGATCGTTGATCACTTCTACGGGCTCCTTCATCGTTTCTACCGTTGTCACCGGCCTTTCGTAAGACTCTTCTTTCTGCTTTGACTTCAAACGTGGTATCTCCGGTGTCGTTGAGCTCTTGAAAGTCGGTGACGATTCTCTCACGTGTAAACCAGTCGGATTATCTGGAGTGGCAGAACGCAGCCCGTGTTTTCTAGATAATTCCTTTGGTGACCACTTCGGGGACCGTCTGCGTCGAGGCGAAGAGAGTCGCGGCGAATTTCTCGGAGACGACCATGGCGATCTGCGCGGTGTTCTACGTGGCGACGTCTTGGGTGATTGTAAACGTGACGATCCTCTTCGGAGAGGTGACAAACCGGGCGATCTGGATCTAGATGGCAATCGACGCGGCGACAATCTCCTGGAAGGTGACCTGGGAGACTTGGACTTGGGCGATCGATGCGGCGGTGACGATAATCTCTGAGGTGAGAACCTCGGCGTCCGTGATCTCGACAGTTGTGGTGATCTGGAACGCGAGCGGATTTTTGGCGTGCGCGGTCGCGGCGACTTTGAGCGTGACAATCTTCGCGGTGACCTCGATCTCTGCGGCCGCGGCGATCGGGAGCGCGAGGAAAGCTTGGGTGATCTGCCTCTCGGCGACAGCTTCCTCGGTGGTGACCTTTTCATGGACGATGTTCGATTCGGAGATCTTCGCGGCGAGAGTTTGGGCGATCTGGGTCGCGGGGAATATCGCGACGGGGACCTTCGCGGTGATCGATACCTCATCGATTCTCTTGGTGATCGTCTCGACTGTCTCGGCGGAGATCTTCTGGGAGATCTTCTCGGTGACTTCTTACGTGACCGCGACTTCGGCGACAACGATCTGCGTTTCTGATTCACTCGGTTCGCTGTGTGCGGCGATATCGATCTTCTCTCGCTCTTGACTGTGGTTAAGGACGAAGCGGTCGCAACATTGTTCCTATCCTTTTTGCCGGAGCAATTTTCATCCAGTTTTGTTCTTTGATCGAAGGATTTATTTCCCTCCTCGTGCCTCGTTAAATTCTTCCCCTCACCTTTACTCGATTTCTTTTCTTTCTTCTCCAATGGTTTACCCACGTTCATTTCTCGCTCCATCTCGTCCATTAAACGTTCTAGGCTGTCTTCCTCTTCGAGATCAGCCATTAGAAGTATATCATCGTCATCGTCGTTACCGTTATCTTCTTCTTGATCTTCTCCGTTCTTTTGCAAGCTCTCTGTAATCTCCTCCTGAATCTCCATTTTTACTAAAGGTTCTTTCGGTTCTTCTTTTGCTATAACTTCTGTCTTTACAGACGTGGTATTCTTTTGCTCCTTCATATCTTCATCTTCAGAAGCACTTCCATTGTCTTTAAAACGATGAAATTTTGATATTTCTGCAAATACAATTGTACGATCATTAAATTCTTACATACGAGGAAACAAGCATATAAAATCGTCGATATCAATATTCAACATAATGTTCTAATATACTGTGTATAAAAATGCAAAAACTCACCTTGAGAACATGGTTCTACTTTTGACTCAGTCTTTTCTATTTTGACAGGGCAAACTGTTTCAATTTGTTGAAGTGGTGAAGGTTCATCCACAGGAACTATTGCTATTAGGTTTGGATTACGAGGGCTTTGATAATATACATTCTGTAAATAAAAAGACACATGAATTGAACATATGTTACATTAGGATTAGATATTTCTAAATATAATTTAGTCAATCGTATTTAATATCGTATTTAATAATCAGGTATAGTTTGAGTGTTATGAAGCAGAAGCATAATAATCTTTGTTATCTTAATATTTACATATGCGTCTCTATAACATTTGTTTATGAATAATCAAAACATACAAATAGAAAACTTACGCCATTTTGTCTTTGTGGAATTCTATTGTTATAATAATTCCTTCTTATAGGCCGTTGTTTATATGGGATACGAGACACCTGTGTTACTTGTGGTAATATTGGTTGTCTGTTACGTGTTGTATCTTTTGCTCGAATCGATTGAAGTGCTACCATCCTTAATGTTTCTAAATCTTCATCATCATCATCCTCAATTTTGATTTTTGATTGAGGAACCACAACCATCTGTGAGAGAACATATAATGGATGAAATTTAAGAGATGCAAGATACAAGAAAGACAAGCAACAGAGAAATAATGAAAAGTCGCGCTCCTGCAATATTAAGCATTACGACCTTGGTACAAAAAATACAGGCAATTTAGACAAACTATCATAGAATATACATATGATCGCGATGTTTCTTGCTGTCGAACACATTTCGGTGCCGCGTTATTACGGACATATTTTACATCGTCTCTCGATCGAAATCTCGTCAACGAAAAGGGAAATTAATCATGAATAATACGTGCCACATGTTTGCATGGATTTTATCAGTGCAACGACTTACTTTCTCGCGATAATCCATTTTATCGAGAGCAGTACTACTGGGAAGAGTTATGTTCGCGATGGTCACGGCGGACTAAGCCGTTTGCGTGAGTAGTTTTCACGCTGTGCGCACGCAAAACTACCGCACGTCACATATAATAATGGTATACATCACTTGTATATTATGAGGCGAAACATTTCCTTTGATTAACTGTCGGAATACAAATCACTTTTGCACGAAAATCGTTTGCTGCTCGTCGTCCCTATCTCGTAAATACAAATGGCGTACGTGAATATATGGGGTTAATGACCATAAACTATAAACGTTTTTGTGATGGGAAACTAAAGCGAGAAACAATGCTTCTAAATGTTACAGGCCAATGGACGATTCACATTGAGCCTGATATCCAATAGGAAAGTCTGTTTTTAATGATAAAAATGCGTACGTATGCCTCTATCTACAATAAAAGTAAAGAATGGCTGTAATGGTTCCTGCACACAGGACGCGGTAATGCTTGCCGCGCGGCGGAAGTCCGTGCGACAGCCAATCAATATGTTGTTTTTCCGTAGGAGCTAGAAGATTATTACGCAGCAGATTATTAAAGCAGCATATTGATTGGCTGTCGCGCGAACTTCCACCGCGCGGCAAGTATTACCACGTCCTGTGTGCAGAAGCCATAAGATTCGACTATGGATGCTTACGATAACGAGAGTAGAGCGAGTGAGATTTGGATCCGAGAGAATAGTATAATCTCCCATCTATATCTGTTTTCGGTCAATGGAGTTAGTTCCACGGCTAGGAATATCAACAACATCTATAACTGTAATATTCTATGGTCTAGTCTTGCTCCTGTTCTTGCAGTCTCATGAACACAGGAGCAGATCAAGGGTTCGATTCTTAACGGTATGCGAATAAGATACGCATGCGAAAATGTGTAGTTCACGTTACGTATACTGTAGATTTTCGCATGCGTATCTCATTCGTACATCGTCAAGCATCGGGCCCTAGGAGTTTGTCTCACGAACAACAAAGGGTAATGTATCATATTTAAAGTGTATTAATATTTTATCTTTTTTATTTAAAGAATTATGTAACATATTATTTCAGTTTATTATTTGAGATTCTCAAACTTTCCTTAAACAAGGACTTAACCTGTATTAATAGTTATTACTTGAAACTTGTCTCACGTCAGATGATCAGATTGCAATTATCAAAGATTGCAAAAAGCTTGATTAATTTAATTAAACCGTATGAAATACATGACATATTATATATAATCTTGATTCAGCTGAAAAACTCACATCTAAGTATAAATTTAAGATAAAATATTAATACACTTTAAGTATGATACATTACCCTATGTTGTTCGTGAGACGATCTCCTGATCTGCTCCTGTGTTCATGAGACTACAAGAGCAGGAGCAAGAGCGGACAATAGAATATTACAGTTATAGATAAGAAATTATACTATTCTCTCGGATCCAGATCTCACTCGCTCTACTCTTGTTATCGTAAGTACCCTATGGCCCTGGTTTACATCGTGTACTAAATAGTGCACGATGTAAAGCAGGCCTATGAATACCGCCCCTATTGCCCTATTGCCCTCTTGCCCTATTGCCCTATTATATCGTGCATTTAATACGCGTACTAAATAGTAACTTTCTATTAGATAATCTTAATATCGACGATATATATAAGCAACGGTATATCAAGCTGGTATAATACTTATCAAAAAAATGATATTAATATTGATTAAACGCGTCGCCGTTGATATGCATTGTAGATATTAAGATAATCTAATAGAAAGTTACTATTTAGTATGCGTATCAAGTGCACGATGTAAACCAAGCCATTGTACTGATTGAATGCGTCGCTGTTGATATGCATTGGCCGCATTCAGTAGAACAAGTGATCAGTAAGCGCTCAGGGAGCTCTTGTATATGATTTGGCATATTCTTTTAGATCTCCAACTATACTCCAGATGCAAGAGCTCACTGAGCGCTTACTGATCACTTGTTTTACTGAACGCGGCCATTGTCGATATTAAGATTATCTAATAGAAAGTTACTATCTAGTACGCGTATCAAGTGCACCATGTAAACCAAGCCTGTGTGCGTAACAGAGAGAATTTATACAGAGTGGAGCGGATTCGTCGGAAGTCCGCCGTTCGTTGGGCAACTTTTGGTGACGCGCGAGAAATTTAATCTCCTTCAACTTCAGGGTGCCATTACATGAAGGTCAAAAACGCGGAAGACAAAATCTTACTAGATTTCCGCGTTCCGCGAATTGAATAATTTCTTCCCATACGTTAAAAAAGCGGAAAAGCGGAAGGCCCAAAACTTTTCTTTATTATCTTTTCATCTAAGGTACCAAGGTATAAATTCCAAAAAAATATCAGGCCCGAACGTGTTTGAACACGTCTTAATATAACGGCGGTTAAGTTGAACAACTTGTGATAACTTGTGACAACTTGTAACAATAGATTTTTCCGCGACTTTATTTCTCCTTATATTACATGGAGCACAATTTGCGCGGAAAAGCGGAACGGTTTAGTGGCAAATAAACATCTGTATTCATTTTTTAAAATTGTATTAATTTAATTTACTGCAATTTTTACTAATATGTTTATCTTTTCCGCTTATCTGTTTAATACAAGCATTTTAATTAATAAATATCATTAAAAATTAATATTTTATAATTCTCCATACCGCTTTTCCGCTCAAAATATACCTCACGTAATATAAGATAATTAAAACAAACGCGGAACGCGTAGTGGATCTAGTAAAATTTTGTCTTCTGCGTTTCCGCGTTTCCGCGCCTCATGTAATGGCATCATCAGGGTGCTTACGATAACGAGAGTAAAGCGAGTAAGATTTGGATCCGAGAGAATAGTATAATCTTCCATTTACAACTGTAATATTCTCTGCTGCTCCTCTTCTCTTGCTCCTGGGTAGTGATCATAAATCTTTCACGTGAACTTCATTTTTATTTTTTACTTTTCACTGTAAGTTATTTCACATGAAAAGTAAACAATGAAAATGTGGAAAGCAATATTTATGTAATATAGATTATTAAAATTAAAATGTAATTATAGTATACACAATGTAATATATAACACATTAATAAGCATTATACAACTTAAAGGACCCCGCCCAAATCTTAGGGAAAATGGGTCCCGGTGGATTTGGCTGAAACTTTGGAAATTTGTAGTTTACGTGATCCTGATGAAAAGTTCTCATTGTCTCAATTTGATTCATTGAGTCGTATGAGTCCTAGGAACCGTCGAAAGTAAGAAATAAGCGACAGCCATCGCCACTGTATAGGTAACCATCTGGTAATTCCTATCCCTTCCCTACCCTCTTCCCCTCTCCCTTCCTCTCTCTTTCTCCTCTCTCTTCTTCTTTAATTAGTTTCCGTTATTTTATGTTAGCTTGCTTTCATTTACATTACTTTGCGTGATTTGTCCAAATACCTTTTCTTGCGATGAAGGAGTGAGGATTTAACGTTATATCAGATCCAATTGGATCATCCGGATTACAAGAATCTGAATGTTACTTTAAAAGATTTTACCGTCGACATAGCGTTACCCAATGTGCACACGCACACACGCACACACGCACACACATACACCTTCACGGCCCTTTTCAGGGCCACATAATGTGCAAAATTCCGATCGCGCAACCTCCCCGTGGTGCACATTGGGTAACGCTAATGTCGACGGTAAAACCTTTTAAAGTGACATTCAGATTCTTGTAATCCG